TGGGAATTCTTCTAGGGTTTCTTCTTTGATCAAATTACTTGGCTTGTGTCAATTTTAGGGTTTTTGATTCCTACTTTTGCATTTTTAGTTGAATCCAATTTCAATTTTTGTTCCAAAAGTCAATTTTAAGGTTCGTCGCTTCACGCGTTCAATGATTGTACGATTTTTTTTTTAATGATGGCTAAGATTTTTTGATCTAATCCATAGGAAGATGACGATTGAAGATAGTTCTTGCTCCGATGATGTTGTTGCTCCGTTATTGCCTACACGTCAAGGAGATGAAGTTGCTTACGATGAATTTAATGGAGCTTCGTTTAGTGGAGCGGTTTTCAATCTCGCTACTACTATAATCGGTGCTGGAATCATGGCTTTGCCTGCAACGATGAAGATATTAGGGCTTGTACTCGGAATTACAATGATTGTTGTTATGGCTTTCTTGACTGATCAATCAATTGAGTTCTTGCTTAGGTTTACTAAAGCTGGGAAAAAACGATCTTATGGTGGCTTAATGGGTGACTCTTTTGGCAAACCTGGAAGGATTTTGCTTCAAGTTGCTGTTCTAGTCAATAACATTGGTGTTTTGATCGTTTACATGATTATCATTGGTAGCTTAATAATAATCTCATTCGTCTTTGTAGATTCTAATAGTCTGCTGCTTCTGTGTTTGATTGAGTCTTTTGTTTGGTTGATTTGTGTTTAAAGGTGATGTGTTGTCTGGAAAGACAGAAGATGGTATCCACCATTCCGGTGTTCTTGAAGGATGGTTCGGTGACCATTGGTGGAACGGAAGAGCTGCTATTCTTCTCATTACAACTCTTGGTGTGTTTGCTCCATTGGCTTGCTTTAAGCGAATTGGTTAGTGTTTTTGGTTCTAACATGAGCATTGCTTGATGCTGCATACTTGTTTTGCCGTAGAATAGCTGGAAGTTATGCTGTCTAGCTCATCCCTGTTTTGAAATTGTCCTAGAGAGGCCATCATTCCTTGTCGTAGATACTCTTTAGAATGGGATGGTGACTAGATACTCTTTAGAATGGGATGGTGACTCTGAATCTTTTAATTTTTGTTGTACAATGGTGTTAAATGCTTATGGCATAAGATTGTGGTTTCTTTGCAGATTCTTTGAGATATACATCTGCCTTATCAGTGGCTCTGGCAGTTGTGTTTCTCATCATCACAGCGGGAATTTCTATCATGAAGTTGATCAGTGGTGGCGTGCCAATGCCAAGATTGCTACCAGATGTTACTGACTTGACATCCCTCGGGAATCTCTTCACAGTTGTACCTGTTCTTGTCACCGCATTCATTTGCCATTACAATGGTATGTTCTTAAATTGGAAGCATAGCGTTGAAGACTGAACAAAAAAACTCATATTCTTGGTTTTTGCTTGATACTTTTCAGTTCACAGCATACAGAACGAGCTCGAGGATCCCTCTCAGATAAGACCTGTTGTCCGATCAGCCCTTATGCTCTGCTCATCTGTTTACATAATGACAAGCATTTTTGGGTTCCTCTTGTTTGGCGACGATACTCTTGATGATGTCCTTGCAAACTTTGACACCGATCTTGGAATCCCTCTTGGTTCTATACTTAATGATGCGGTTCGAGTTAGCTATGCTCTTCATCTGATGCTTGTCTTCCCTATTGTTTTCTACCCTCTGCGGATTAACATTGACGGGCTCTTGTTCCCGTCCGCTCCATCATTAACTTCATCAAATGTAAGATTCGGTTGCCTCACTGCTGGTCTCATCTCTGTAGTCTTCTTGGGTGCAAACTTCATCCCGAGCATTTGGGATGCTTTCCAATTCACTGGAGCAACTGCTGCTGTTTGTCTTGGCTTCATATTCCCAGCCTCGATTATACTAAAGTAAGTTTATTGTTTATATAAATAAATCTGTACAATCCTTAATTAGCAGATTTGTTAATTTATTTCGATTTTGTTTATGTTCTTGCAGGGATCGACATAGCAAGGCAACTAGCAGGGACACTACCTTAGCGATTTTCATGATCGTTCTTGCAGTCGTGTCTAATGCAATCGCCATTTACAGTGATGCATATGCGTTGTTTAAGAAGAACTCACCTCGTGAGTGATTCTAGATGAGCAAAATCTAGTCTGGTGTTTCTGGATGAAGAAACAAAAGTGTTTGTTCTCTCTACTCTTCTTTGTAAAATCTAATAAGTAAGAAGACGAGACCTCTCTTCTCTATCTGATTGTACCAATTGTTGTTGAGTGATTTTTTTAGCGGACTTTTGCTTGCTTCTGGTTGTACCACCATGAGTGGTGTTTGTAGAAATTCTGTATAAAATGTAATGCAGATACAAAATTTGGTGTATATTTCTCATATCCAATGCCATTTTCTAATCTGTAATAATAACCAAATCCAGCAGATCAGGAGAGTTACAGTAATCAAACATGAGTGTGCTTGTTAAATTCCAAAACACAAAAGAAAGTAAGTGGAAAGAGAACAAACCAAAAACAGAACAATTAAAATTAGATGCTTTGGATGCATGTGTGAGTGTCTGTGTGCTCATGTTTCTTCTACTAGTTCACTTGGCTGTTGCAGTAGGCTTGAAACAATCTATGTTGCACAATCTTACAGATCTTATCATCTCCCCAAACCTG